TTGTTCATTTGCTCATTCATTCATCCACGTATGCATGTGTCTGGCAGGTCAGTCAGGCAGTCAGTTAATATCCCATCACTGCTCAGCAGCCGTAAACCCTTGAGGAAAATGCTCAAAGAAGGGACTCGGCTTTCCAGGCAGGGCCTTCCTTCACTCTCAGATTGCACAAATGCATGTTGTTTCTTTGTAAATAAAAATCACTTCTGGCCTTGTAAATAAAAAACATGCTCATCTCTTCCAGTGTGTTTTCAGCATCTCCTTGGTGCCAGCTCCACTAGACTTCATTCTCCTGCAAGGCAAGGTCATGTTTGGGCGTGGCACCCTCACCTCTAGCCCAGGCAGGGCCCAGCACACAGTAGGCTCTCCGCCTGTGAGAGTGGCTTTGGTGGATTGAACTGGCTAGAAAACAGAGAGGTTTTTAGATGGCAGCGTGAAGGCCTGTACCCCAAATTGAGATTTGCCCCAGAATCCTGTGCGGCATTAGTGCTCAGGGCGTAGGGTGATCTGTACCACCTTTAGACTAGATTAGCTCCCCGCCTCCTTAGTTGTTCTCTTCTCAGAACTGCTTATCAGCTCCCATCTCAGCTTTAGGCCAGAGTTGTTTTGGTTACTGACTTTTATTAGCTCTCCGTTCACTGCCCAAAGGGATGTGTGTGTTGCCTGCTCCACTTCCTCCTCCCTCTGGGAGTCCAGCTATTGACCTTGAGAAGCTGGAAGCCCAACACAAGGGAGAATGTAACCTCTCCTGATCTGAGGCTGTAGCCTTAACTCTCTGACTCACCAGTGCTGTGACCTGGGACAAAGCACTTTACCCCTCAAAGGTGACTGCTTGGAGATCCCATCAGCATTTCCCACAGTCTGCTTCTCAGAACATGGTTTCATCCAAACATCAATAGGCATTGCCGGGAAAAAATGGAGACTCTCACCAAACTTGTTTGGGCACTGCTGGCTTAAGCTCGGTCAAATGTGGTGTTTCTCACAGGACCCAACAGAATCTATAAAGGTCAGTGTGCGTGGAGGCATCTCTCAAGAGAAGTGATCTGCTGCTGCCCAGATCATGCCGCAGACAGGCTGGACAGGGAGATCTTGAGGAAAGAGGGTGAGAGAAGGCCAGGGGCTTTCTCACTTGAGAGTGTCAAAGACACAGGTTTTAGCCTGAGCCCTTTAATTATCTGTGATAGTAGGGCAGGTACTTAAAACTGGTTTTTCATCTGGCAAAATGGGGCAAACAATGCATATTCTGTTCAGCTGCTGTGATATTTGGAGCCAATGAATATAAAAACCCCTCAGGAGGTGGCCAAAATTAGCAGATATTATTACAACTTGCTGTGTAGGAGATTAGCCGGGCTCACTGAAGGGCTTTTTCAATGGCTTCTTGGCAGATCCTCTAAGACGCTGTCCTAATTAATACCTTAGGCCAATACAAGGACAGACAGACTTGGTTTGGTGAAAAAACCACAATGAAGCAGAACGTGGGGTTCAGGAGACACGCCCAAGTACACACAGCCAGGTGTTTGTCTACAATAATATTTTAAAGTTCTTAATGAAAATAAAATGCTAAACTATTAAAAAAATCCAATGTCTGTGTCCTTGACTATTTTGCTTTATGTCCTAGGCACACCACTGAAGTACAGTGAACAAAACAAGCAAGGCCTGGCTCCATGGAATTCACAGTCCAAGGGGAGAGGTAGACACTAAAATAATAAATACACAGAGGATGAGAGACTGAGTTACCTGACTGCCATTTCTAAAACACAAGTCTGGACTTATCAATCTCCTGATAGAAAAATTTTCCTGGGTTCCTCACTCTGTGTAGCAATAAAAATAAACAAAAATGGAAAACAGCTGCCTTTATTAGGTGCTTACTATATGCCAGGTGCTTTACTGTGATTAACTCAGGACATGCCCCAACAAACCATTGCAGGAGATATTTATAATTGTCCCCATTAACCAAAGAAGAATTGAAGTTTTCCACTTAACCATTGCTCATAGTGTATGCAGCTGCCTCCTCAGCCTCCAAGACTCAGAATTCCCTAAGGATTCATATTCTAACCACTTTTGTCCCTGGTATACACAGTAGTATTCAATAAATGCCCCTGAATTAATAATCAATTGATTGACCAATGGGCTAGTTTCCTTCAAGGCACTATCTGCTAATAAACTCTAGGTTTGGAACCAGAGCTGATCACTCTCCTGATAATCACATGTGCAGTAGCCGTGATGTTGTGTAAAGAGTCAGGGCCAGACTCTGGAGCCCTGAGACCAAGGTCTGTCTCTGCATGAACTTGGACCATCATTTCATCACTCTGGGTAGGCCTGACTGCTTAAAACTGTAATGACTGAAGACACAAGAAATGATAACAATGAACCTAGATCTCTTCTAGCTCTGGAGTTTAGGTCTCTGAAACATAATGAGAAGGGGTGTGCCCAGGAAGGCCTTTGAAATTGCACTCTGTCTGCTTTTAGAACTAGACCTAAAGTGAAATGTTTTAGGGTAGGGCGCTGATCAGGTCTATCGGGAGTGAGCAAAGAACCTCCTCTCCCTTCACAGCTCAATGGGTGTATTTATCTTAATAAAAGTAGATTTTCTCCCTGTGACAAATAGGCTCAACCTGGAAAACCTTTTTTCCAGGGAAGTGTTTTGGATGGAGTGTGGTTGCCTCCCCCCGTACCCCAGAACAGAGAGGCTAGTGTTGTGTAAGAGTCCACGTTCACATGCTGGAAGGGAATAAAAACTCAAAACCACCACTCCCAATCCTGCACTCTCCCCTGGGAAGGCCCCAGTGAGGAATAAAAACTGAGTGTGGTCAAGGCAACCACAAACATGGTGTGATGGCTCCACAGTTACGTCTACAAGGAGCACTCACCGCTCGGCCAAGTGTGAGTCTGTCAGTCGCTTAAAGTGAGAGCAATGAGTAGGAGCTAGGGCTCCACAGAGAAACAGAGTTTTTGTTGTTGTTATTCTTGCTGTTGGGATTGGTTTTAAATGAATTTCCGTCCTAATGTCACCTGCTGGCCATCAGGGGGTTAATATCACAACTTCCTAACTGATAGGACCATTGTGAAAATTAAATGAGATAAGCTAAGTGACCCACAGAGAGCCTGACGCATGGCAAATACTCATATTGGGGCCTGCGATGGTGGAGCGATGGTGACGGCGGCGGTGGTGACGGAGGTCGTGATGGGGCTCACGGTGACAGTGGCGGTGCCGACGGTGGTGGTTGCAGAGATAGTGGTAGTGGCGGTGATGTTGGTGGTGGTGCTGGTGGTGACGGTGGTGGTAGTAGGGATGGTGATGGTGATGGGGATGGTGGATAAAACAACCTGAAATAGAGAAATCCTACCACGGGCTCTTCAAAGCCCCCTTGGGAATCAAAAGAGAAGCAGGTAATCCTGTGACAACCTCTCCTAGAGAAGCATACTTGAATACTTTTCAGGAGACAGAATGAAGTGGCACCTGCTCCTGAGGAGGCCCAAGGCAGCCCAGATGGCCTGGGCCTCAGGAGAGGACACTGGGTCCCTGTGAGGAGAGAGGCTCACTGGGGCCATTGGGAGATGAAACCAGGTAGCAGAGAGACCTGAGACGATGAACTTCCCCAGAGTAAAGAGAAGGGGGAGGAAATTACAGAGAGAGGCCACTGCTCAACAACAGGCTGGTTGAAATGAAAAAGCACAAAGAGCAGAGGTGTGGCAGGAGGCGAGCAGGCAGGAAACCTGGTACCCTGTTGACAAGGTGCTCCGTGGAGAACGATTTGGCAATGTTTATTAAGATCTCAAACGCATACACAGAACGACCCAAGAACTTCACTTCTCAGTTACCACCTAAGAAAACAGTCTGTCCATGTGTTCAGGAGGCATATGCCAGAAGTATAACACAACAGTGTCAAAAAGGCGAAAAACAGAACCTGCCCACCTACACAAGCAGGAAAACAGCTCAATAAACAGGAAGGTTCTCATACTATGGATACATCATTCACTTTGCTGTAGCATAAAAACAAGATAGATTCACATTACTGTCTTGAAAACATTTTAAGACATATAATTGAATTATTTTAAAAGGTTACAAAATAGATCAATGAGCATAGTATTACAGCCTGTATTTAAAGAACAGAAAGAAAGAAAAAAGAAAGGAAGGGAAGAATGACTTTTTCCTATGTACAAAGGCACCTTAAAAACATTCTGGGAGGAAATGCACAAAGTGGATCACAGTGGGTAACTCAGGGAAAGGCAGGAGTAGGGAGAGGCTGGAGATAAATTTGGGGGAAGGGAGAGCGGGTCAGTGGGGACTGTATTCTTATTTTTAACTAGGAAAATGTATCCATGCACTTCCTGGGCATTAAATTAAATTAATACATTTATTTCTAAGAAAAAAAAGGAGATGGACGAAAGAAGAGACAATTTCAGGAAAAGATGTAGCTGCCAAGAGCAAGGTTTGCCTTTGCCTCCTCTTGAAGGACTGGCCACACACAAATGTGTAGACACAGCACATCTGAGCATGTGTCCACGGTTTGTTGGAATGAGTGTCCACGGTTTTTGGAATCAAATATTTAACTTTATACTACATTAGGTCTATCTATACCAGCCGTTCTTTCCAAATCCTGGAAACATTCCCTCATACTTAACAAAGGTATCTCTCTCCTGGTGTCAGAAATTAGGGATATTAATAGGGTACACATGAAATTTGGCTAGCTCTAAATTTTTGATGTCCTCCACTGACTTATACAGGCAAAGACAAAGTTATGCATTGCATTTAATTGTTACATATAAAAAAATTTTAAGCCCTCACTGGTATGGCTCAGTTGGCGGGAGCATCATCCTGTACACCAGAAGTCGGGGGTTTGATCCCTGGTTAGGGCGCATACCTACCTGGTGGGTTTGATCCCAGGTCGGGGTGCATATAAGAGGCCACCAATCAATGTTTCTCTCTCACATTGATGTTTCTCTCCACCCCCCATCAATAAATCTATTTTTAAAAATTTTTAATTTTTAGATATTTTTACCTTTCCTTGTGTTCTTCCATTCCTGTGAAGGCACACGGATTCATTACTGTGGAATTGTCTACAGACACAGCTTGGCAGGCCCAGGTTTTCTTTCTAAAAAAGCAAAACAAACAATATTTATACTGGGGTGCATTTATGTTATAAACACACAATAAGTAGCATTAAATACATAAAGTGGAGTATGTGAAAGGCTGTCCGGTGTCCAAGAAAATCCATTCTCCCCTTCCTCCACAGTTATTTAAGTTTTAACAGGGACTGCATTTCCCAGGCACCGCTGTAACTAGGTGCAGCCAGGACTCTGAATTCCCAGTGAAATGTGAGAGAAGATGATTATGTGCCACTTCTCTTTCCAGGTCTTAAGACATGGGATGGGCATGCCGCATCTTATGGTTCCCACTGGCTGGAATTCAGCTCTGACCATGCAGATGATGACAAAGCTCTTGGAAATAACAGAGCAACAAGACAGAAGGCACCTGGATCTGTGACTGCATGGAGCATGACCGTCTTCTCACCTTGCCCTTTGAGTCACTATTTCATTGGGTCCTGTTTTTATGACTACTTAACTCTCATCCCAGTTGGCACAATGATTAAGTATTTTCACCGAGACCCGTCTGACGGCAGATTTGGTTATTTGAAGCTTGGGGTGTGCTGTGTCTATGGAGACAGGTGAGGCCAAACTATTTTTGGTTACCATTTTAGTAAAACCATGTGCGTTTTCAAGTAGGTACATAATCAGTGTTTGATGGATAAAGAGGAGTTGATTAGCATGTATTACCTTCTAGTGTGAAGACTCTCAAGAGCCTGCAGGACACCTAGTACAGGGTTAGAAATGCTGGGATCCACGACCATGAGTGCTGAGCCTCATTTCACAAAGTGACCACTTGGAATGGTAAAACACCATCCAAGTGCAGACGATATCCACATTTAAGGATTCAAGTCTGTGTGCTTAGGAATGACAAAGACTAAAAGGAAGACAAGGGGACAGAGACAGGCAGAGCTAGAAAGCGATCATGCCAATGGGTGGAGGATTCCACCCACTATTCCACTCCCTGAGCATTTGCCCCAGAGGAGTCTGCGATGTCTGAGGATCACCCTTCAGTGTCAACACAAACCACATACTGCATTTGGTGTCAACCAGTCGTCAGTTTCAATGCTGTAAGAACTGGTTTTGCAGGCCATATTGAGGGACGATGTATTGGTCTCAGTAAAAGGAAGTTTAGGGTAATTTTGACACCCTGATCTTCCATGCTGGTATGTCCTTACGGCCCAGCTCCACCGCATTGGCTGTTGTGACTGCTGAGCCTCACGGGCCTGCTTGGCCAAACCTCTGCCCTATGCTCCACCATGACTCTGGCCTTTTCCCAGATGAAAACACCAGTTGGATTAACTTGCAGATCCAGGTGAGCAGGACCAGGTACCTGAGGCCCCAGCACCACATGGCGTTGTACAGTCAGTATCGGAGAGAATCCCCAGCCACAACTTCCAACACTGCTCCTTTAACTTGCAAAGGGCACATCATGACGTATTTTTAGCGTCTGGATCCTGGTCTGGGGCCACTGATCTGGCTGGCTTCCATCAGAGCTTAACTTCATCAGCTGAGATATATGTATTAGGGAGCACTCAAAACTAGGCAAAAGGGAAGATGTGGATCCCAGAAAGAAGGGAGATGGAAGGGTAGCGGGACTTGTACTCAGTCTCAGAGGTGTCATTGCATCCCAACTATGAAGAGCGAGAGGAGAAAGTAAGCAGCCCAGACCAGAGCTGCTTCCGCAGCTGTGAACACCTCAGCCTGCCTTGCCTCAGCCTAGAAGGCAGGTTTACACAGCGTACCACGCTCTTCTGTGGCCCAGTAACTGCCGCAGAGGGATTCAATACCTATGTCCCAAAATGATGCCAACGGCAGGCCCCCCCTCACAACCACATTTCCCGGGCAGCAGTCAGAAGTCAGAGCCTGCCCTTCACTGGGCCGTCAGCTCACTTTGGGTCAATGGGTTCAGATTTTCCTTCCAAGTATTAGAGAAGGTACCCTGTAGACAGCCATCAATAAACCACTGCCCTTCAGCCTGTGGCATAGGGGCACCCGGCTCTGCACCCCAGCACTGAGGGATGCCCAAGGGCCCATGGAGCAACTCATCCAATTCTCACATCAGCTCTAGGAGGCGGCAGATACCACCTCACTTAAGGAATCAGGAAACTGGGTACAAAGACGTTAGGATTTTTTTCAAAGGTCATACAGATAGCAAATGGTAAAGCTAAGACCTGAATCAGGCATTTGTTCTGGGAATCTGTGTTCCTAACCACAGTATTATAATGTGCATGGTAAAGCACAGTATGGTGAATGAATGAATGCATAAACAAACAGTTTCAAAAGCGGTTTCAGGGCTATGAGGAGACAGTGTCTCTATAAAGCCCTAGAAAGGTGGACCACAAGCCTGACCTTACCTACCCTGGATGCCAACCAAGCAGGTGATGTTCTCAGAACCCTCTCAAGACAGCCTCTCAGCCCCCTGAACACTCTGAATCCAGAACTGCCAACTTCTGTAAAAGGAATTTATGTGCTTAATACCTTTGTTGGTAACAACCACAGCCACCACTGACTCAGTACCTCCTTTTCACTGGCAGTAAACCAAAGCTCCCACCCAGAGGCTCCACTCATCCCCCCTCCCAGCCCCTAGGTAAGGTGGGATCACACCCATTTGATAGAAGGCAAAACCAGGGCCCCAGGCAGCTGTGATTAGTTTAAGGGGTAAGGGCAATTTTCAAACCCCAAGGAGCTGGCTGAACAGCTCCTTTCTTCTACCTCCCCAATACCCACCACTCACCTTGGCTAATCAAAAAGTTACAAAAAGAAGTGCTGTTCTAACTCTTCAGCTCGAAAGTTCTGTATTAATCTGAAGTTCATCAGTATTTCCGATCCCAGTCACTTCCATGGAAGAGGAACTGTAATGCTCCCCAGCTAGGAACTCTGGCACTACCCCTTCCTCATTCCTCTCCTCAGCTGGCTAGCTCAGCACTGGCCAGCATTTGCTAAGCACCAACCTCCTGCAAAGTATCCATTGGTCATGAAGTCCTGCTAATTCTTCATTGAAAAATATCTCTTCTCAGGAACATCTGAGAGCATCTCAGTGAGGATGTGAAGCAACCAGAACTCACATCCTTTATGGGAACATAAAGGGGTCCAACCACCTTAGAAGACTGTGGCCATAACTATTCAACTGGCATTTGCTACTAGGTACATAGGTGCATCAAGAGGCATTTCCTAGAATGTTCTCATTAGTACTGTAGGTTACAGCCCTATATTTGCTTCCTACTGCTGTAAAAACAAATTACTACAAACTTAATGGCCTGAAATAACACACATTTATCATCTTACAGGTCTGGAGTTCAGAAATGGGTCTAAAATGGGACAGCAGGGCTGCATTCCTTTTGGAGGCTCTAGGGGAGAACCCCAGTTTCTAGAGCTCGCCCGCATTCCCAGGCTCATGGCCCCTTCCTCCATTTCAGAGGCAGCAACGTAGCACCTTCAAATCTCTTCCCTCTCTCACCTCTGCTTCCACTGTCATATTTCATTCTCTGAACCAGACCCTCCTGCATCCCTCTTCTAAGGACCCTTGTGATTACACTGGGCCCACCCGGGGAATTCAGGATCACCTCCCCACATCAATATCCTTAATTTTGCCATGGAAGGTAACGCAGGCACAGGCATTACTAGGGAGTGGCACCCATGAACAGGGCTTAAGGGGGCTATTTTTGGCCTACCTCCAGTCCCAAACCGGAAGTAACCCAAATGCTCATCAACAGTGGAAGGAATAAAATAAATAGTGGTAATTCACAGCAATGAGAATGGATGATCTGCAGCTACATGTAACAGCAAGCATGACTCTCACAAGACAATGCTGAGCCAAAGACACCAAACACATGCACGCTTGCTATATGAGTCTGTCTACAGAAAGGGAAGACCCATGGGAAACTACCCCAAACTGTTAGCTGTCAGGATGGTGGGTGTAGTGGGGGAGGAGTGGGTGGAAGAAAGCACATGGGGGTCACTGGGGTGCTGGCAAAGTTCTGCGTCTTGCGCTGCAAGAAGAAAGCTGCTTCCACGGGTGTGTTCCGTTTGTGGCACTCCATCCATCTGCGTAGTCATGGGATGTGTCCTTCTCTGTGGGTAGGTTACTCCTCAATAAGAAGCCTTCAAATTTTTTTCTAACAACTATTTTGCCTATTCAAAAGTTTTCCCACACTCCACCCAAGTTCTTAGTAATCCTCTCAAAAAATTCAGTTGTTGCATGTTTGTTTTCTACACATTGATATAGCCATGCTAAATTTCCCAACTCTGCATCCTACAATTGGAGGCCCGTAGTTATGAAAATACAATAAATGCATTAATAACTGAAGAAGAAGTGGAACAGGACGAGGAGGAGGAAGGGAGAGGGAGTTGGGGGGAGGAAGAAGAGGAAGCAGAGGTAGCTGCTGTTTCTCTCCTCTCTCATCCCATCCCCATTCTACAGGCAGGTGTCATTTCACCTCAGGATGAGGCAGATCCCAGCTGACCTCCTCAGCCCCCTACACTCTGCCCGTTGCTGCCCACGGGACTGACTGAGAATGTTCCCCTGAAACCTGCCACACGGTCCTTCCTCTGTCTCCCCCTCACTCCTTTCACCCACCTGACATTCCCATGGTAAGCCCTTCTCCTCCCAGGAGCTCCCTCCAAACTTCTGTAGGACTTGCAATACAAGCCACAGCATTTGAATTTAATTACCACTGTTGTGTATTAATTGCTAATAGATTAAGAGCCTTATTCTAATTCCCCAAACAGACTACAAACTCTCAAGAACAGAATCAGCTCTTACACACTCAATTCTCCTCCTCCTAGTTCTGACTGCATGTGAACTTCTAATGCTAATTAATAATAACTGCTACTAATAAGAATAGCCTTTGTTGAGTATCTATCATGCATTAGGTTCAGTGCTCCTTATGCATTATTTCATTCTCTCTTCTTCCGCTCAGTGAAATGGGTGCTATCATGATCCCTCTTTTGAATAGAAGAGATCATTTTGAGGCAAAGAATGGCTAGTTAACTGGACCAAGGTCCT